CTGATGTAAACAAGACGAAAGTCTTTCTCTGGTCTGCATCCCCTTAACAATTGTATGTTTTGAGCTGTACTGTACTGTACCCAATATACAAGCTGTTAATACACTTTTCAATCAATCAATCAATCAATCAATTGGTCTGAAGGTGAATCTGAGCGTCTGTTTTTCAGTCCGTCTGTCTCTCTCATGGATGTATAATAAGAACTGGATACAGCGTGGGAGGCGGGGCCTCATTCATTCCTATGAGAGTTGCTCATTCGCGCATGATGATAAAATGGCCCAACTTTTGAGAGAGCGAAACGTCACAGATTACCCGGCATGCCTGAGAAGTACCCGTATGTGCGCTCATAGCGCATGCGCAACTTTAACCATGCCCCCCAAAATGCTCGTTTGATTGATTGATTGATTGAAAAGTTTATTAACAGCTTGTATATTGGGTACAGTACAGTACAGCTCAAAACATACAATTGTTAAGGGGATGCAGACCAGAGAAAGACTTTCGTCTTGTTTACATCAGGGTCCCCCATTTCCAATTCATCATATCATTTAAGACATATAAGACATATTTGACATACAGATGGCTTATTTACAATTTACATACAGGTGGTTTTTTACATACAGATGGCTTATTTACAATTTTCATTTTAGATTTCGTTCTAATACATCCTAACCGGACATTTAAGACATACCAAGTCTACAGATATACAGTTAGTAACAGAGTCTAAAATGCGAGTATATACATAGATGGGGGGGGGAAGCTGTCCATTGTACGACAGGTTGAGATTTGTACCATTACCGGGGCCAGTTTTGCAATGCTTTCCGCCGAAGGTGCTCTTTAAGAGAGGTTTTGAAGGTAAGTATAGTTTTACTTTCCTTTACAGTTGTGGGAAGAGCGTTCCACCTTGATGTGGCATAATTGCGAAACGTGTATTCCCCTTTTTTTGTGCCAAATCTGGGTTTTACATGATTTGTGGAGCTCCCTCTGGTGTTATGATCATGGTATTCCTTGACCTTTGGGAAGAATTTTGACATGTACATGGGTACCATAGAGGTGTAGTGGATCTTGTAGACCAGGCCCATTGCAAGTAGCTGTACTCTGTCGTCTACTCTAAGCCATCCTAGGTTGTCAAAGTGGGCAGAGGTGAGGTGGGTTCTAGATGAAAGGTCAAGCAGTAGTCTGACCAGTTTATTTTGCGATGTTTGAAGTTTTATTTTTAGCGCCTTGGAGGTGCTATGGTACCATGACGTGCAAGCATAGTCATAGTACCCTTGAATGAGTGCTCCTGCCAGAGTTTTCAGGGTGTTTTTGTTTACCAGAGAGGAGATCCGGTATAGGAATCTAGTTCTTTGATTGACTTTTTTTATTACATTGGATGCCATTTTGTCACAGGAGAGGTTTGCCTCAAGAATAGATCCTAGGTATGTAATTTCCTTCTTACTTGTGACAATAATGTCACCCACTGCAACTGAGAAGTCGTCGGATTTGCTGAGATTATGTTTCGAACCGAAGAGAATGGACTCTGTTTTACCCAGGTGTAATGATAATTTATTATCGGCGAGCCAGGTGCAGATTCTGCCGAGCTCGGAGCTGAGGGTTTTTTCAACCTGCAATCTGCTCCTGTCAGAGACCAGCAGGGCTGAGTCGTCCGCGAACAGGAACAAGTTGCAGTCACATGCTGATGACATGTCATTTGCATAAATTAGGAACAGTAACGGACCTAATATGCTTCCTTGTGGAACACCACAGCTCACTGGGAGGGGGGGGGACAGAGTACCGTTTACCTCCACCATCTGTTCTCTCCCCTCCAGGTAGGATTGCATCCAGCTCACCGATAGTTTATCAAAACCAATTGCTTTTAGCTTGTCAATCAGAATGGGGTGATTGACAGTGTCGATAGCCTTTTGTAGGTCCAGCATCACCATGCCGCAGTATTTACCCTCGTCCACCTCTTGTTTGATGTGGTCGTTCAAATAAAGAAGGCATGTGTCAGTGGAGTGGGATGTTCTAAAGCCAGATTGAAATTCATAGATTAGTTTCTTTTCTGCGAGGTACTTTTCGACCTGTTCATATACTATTTTTTCCATGACTTTCGAGATGGAGGTAAGTATAGAAACAGGGCGGTAGTTGCCTGGGTCCAATTTGCTGCCCTTTTTGTGCAGGGGGGTTACTCTTGCAATTTTGAAGTCTTTGGGTACTTTTCCCTGTTTTATGGAGAGGTTAATTATGTGAGCTATGACTGGTGAGATGGCGGTTGCTGTGTCTCTGAGGAATTTGGAGGGGATATTGTCGTGGCCAGTGGCCTTGTTAGGTTTGAGGGCGCTCAGTTTAATGAGTACCTCTGCTGTTGTTACCCTTGCTAGACTGAAATCATCTTTGCGTACCCCTAGGTTTTTGTAGTAGGTCATGATGTGATCTACTCCAAAAAGCCCTGAGTGGGAGGGTAATTTATTTACAAGAGTTGTGGCTATGTTTGTGAAAAAAATGTTCAAGTACTTGGCCACATCCAGTTTGTCTGTGATGAGCCTGTTATCTGTCTTTATGTTTACGTTTGAAAATCTAGTTTTGAGTTTTTTACTGCAGCCAAGCTGGTTATTGAGTAATTTCCAAAGTTCACGGGGTTTATTTTTGTTTTCCTCAGTTTTGTCATTGATGAAATTCTTTTTGGCAGTTTTGATCATGGAGCTTACGTCATTTCTTAGTCTGTTTCTTTCAATTTTTAGTTCAGTCACGTGGGCCTGGAGTTCACTGCTCGTGCTTTTGGAAAGCATTGACTGACTTTTATGAAACTCAGAGCATTTTTTGTCTCTGGTTTTCATGGCGGTCAGTATGCCGGAGTGCATCCACGGCTCAGCGCGATTTTTTACCCTGGTTGTTCTTAGGGGGGCCAAATCATTGAGTATTGCAGAGAATTTGTTTTTGAAACCAAGCCATGTTTCTTCAACTTGTGTACCACTGAGCTCATCTGACCAGTCCAGGCTCTCCAGTTCTAGGTTAAAGGCCTCGCTAGAGTAGTTTTTGAGGTCTCTAGATATGACTGTTTTGTGACAGCCGGCCTTTTGTTTTAGCTTTTTGCGGGTACAGAATATCATATAATGATCACTTAAACCGCATGCTATAACCCCTTTACTGGAGATCCTGGACCTGTCAGAGGTCAGAATGAGTTTCACATACCCGGGTGGGTTGGGTGATTAGCTGGCTGAAGCCGTGCAGATCACAAATCCTACTGAAGGACTTGAAGACGGACGTGTCTTTACGTTGCATATCCGTGTTCCAGTCTCCAATAATAATTGTCTCTACATCCCCCACATCAGCCAAACACCCATCTAATGTATCATAAAAGTCACTCGTTCACATCAAGAACATCAATTTGCGTACACATAACAGCACCGCACGTTCATGACAGCATGGTAATGGTTTGTTATTATGATAGATTTGATATTAACGAGGCGGCAGTTAGCAGCTAGCGGTTAGCTAGTAATTATGCTAATTTACACATCAATCGTTATGTACTTTTATATTACGCTGTAACAGGATCTAGTGATATCCAAGCAACAGAGCTTCATTTAGCATGAAAGAATTATTGCACTGTATATATATATATATATGTATATATATATATATATATATATACAGCAAACATGTGCAATATATCCATTATTACAGCTCCGTGGGCTGGCAGTAAGGCGATATGGGTCCGTTCTTATTGTGCATCCATGGGTAAAGATAAACGCATGTAGTGCTGAACACGTAACATGAACGTGCCGGGCGGCGCGGTCCCGTGGGTTAGATGCGCGTTCATAATGCAGAGGGAAATAACTCACAGAATAACGTTATTAGCACATTTTTACAACTTGAGGAACGAATGTTTTTAATAAGGGCTATACAAGTGTTCATACTGGGTCGTTTATTTAGTTTAAAAAAAATTATCCAACGATTTACAGACCACTCTTTCCCCATATAAGTCAATGGGAAAAAGTGTTTCCGGGCCTGGCAACCAAAAGGAAGTGTAGTACCGCCGTTTGGCCAGCACGAATATTTTTCATCTGAGTCCGGCGCACTTCCTGGGGGCTTGGTCTCTCTGCAGTGAGGGAGAAGAACAAACTAGGCTTGTTTGAGACAAGCGAGACCTGCGCAGACCTGCGCAATTGCGATCAACGTCTTGCTAGTGCGTTGCATGATGGTTAGTAATTTTGTCCGACTTGCTCTGAAGGCTCGCCTACATGAGACGTTGAATTCTCGCGGGACAAAGACGCCCGCAGACTTGAGAGCGAGGCGGCGCAGTTTCTCTCCACGGGCTGCGGAAGCGAAATGCTTGATGGGAAACGACTCGCTGGTATCTCGAGCTGAGCGCTCATTGGTGGTTTTTACCCCGTGCTGGTGATGAAACTCTCCATTGGCTCGGCAAAAGTGTGTTGTTGTTTTGTGTCAGTTTTACGTCGCCACTTCCATTCACATTTTTCATCATTGTTCCACAATGTTTATCATCATGAAATTAATATCTATATATTTTTATACAATACTTGCACTGCTTACCGTTGTCATACTTTATATATTTTAGCATATTCATACACACTGTTAATACTGTTCATACTGCTCATAGGCTACTGTGTATATAGTGTATACATACTGATATACAGTACACCTGAACATCAGCAGGAGAGGACTCTTTAAAGTAGAGACACTACATACTGAAATACACCTAAACATCAGCAGGAGAGGACTCTTTAAAGTAGAGACACTACATACTGATATACTGTACACCTGGACATCAGCAGAAATGTAAAAAAAAATCTACTTTTGCTGGTGCTGTTGCATTTAAAATCAAATAGTTGACTAAAACAAACTTGAAAGAAATCAAATACATAGTGTTGTTTTTTCATTTGTTTATATTTATTATGATAATTGTTGAATGCAAACTTTGTAAACAAGGTAATAAAGTAAGTACTGAAGTAGCTTTAAGTCAGTGTATTGATCAGGGCAGAGCCAGGTGAGCTAAAGTCACTCAATACAAAGGTAACTAGACAAAAACAGGAGGAACAAACGAGAAAGAATTCTAGTGTTATTTTGAATTTGAATGTCTTTGTATTGATTGTTATTATTAGTTGAATTCTCAGACTAAATCTCTGGTGACTTGAAATTAAAAGCAAGAAGCTAAACTTAGACAGGAGAAACAAACGTGAAATAAATCAAACGTGTCAGTATTGTTATCATTATCATTATTCTTTTTTTATTGATTGACAAGACTTTAACTTAACAAGAAAACAATGGACTAAACATAAATATAGAAATGTACTATTAAGTAAATATGAAAAATATAAGATACATATAAAAATTGACTATTAACTAAACATGATAAATATAACATAAATATAAAAATGAACTATTAAGTAAATATGAAAAATATAACTTAAATATGAAAATGAACACTATAAACCAAACATGACGATATAACATAAACCTGATAACTTGTAATGATTAAATGTTCCTCTTATTTAGAGGTGCTAGAAGCAAAGGAATAGTTTATTTATTTTAAAATTAAGGTTGTTTTTTTGCCCCTAGTGGCTAAAACTGCACATCACTGTGAGTCTCTTCTGGAACCTTTGTTGATGTCTAACCAGATCTAATAACTGTTAAGTGTTTAAATATCCTGACTGGCTGTGAGTATATGTTGTTGCTCACTCACTTTGAGCTTTAGACTGTACTTGAAATGTTTTAATGTCTTACTAATTTTTGATGTTGTGAGTTTGTTTTTTAAAGTTTTTAAAGCCGATGTCAGGGCTGCCTTTGAGTCTTATGTTTTCCTTTTTAGTCATCGTTGATGTTTGGGCGGATACAAGAAAAGGAATTGATGAATCTTCTCCACCGTGGTGTTGTCCTCCTCTGCGTTGTTGGGATCGGCTCATTGGTTTGCTCAGGTGGATCCACCCTCACTTCCTGTTCCACCTCCAACTCCACCTTTACCTCCACAAGCTCCTCCTTCACCATGCAGAGTGCCTTTGGTGGTTTTTTCAGCTGTTTCTTCAGCAAGGCGGCTATCTCTGCATCCTTTTCCTCAACACAACGTTCCTTCTGTTGTTCCAGTTCCTGGTTTCTATCATGCAAAGCAACTATCTCTGCATCCTTTTCCTCAACACAACGTTCCTTCTGTTGTTCCAGTTCCTGGTTTCTCTCATGCAAAGCAACTATCTCTGCATCCTTTTCCTCAACACAACGTTCCTTCTTTTGTTCCAGTTCCTGGTTTCTATCATGCAAAGCAACTATCTCTGCATCCTTTTCCTCAACACAACGTTCCTTCTGTTGTTCCAGTTCCTGGTTTCTATCATGCAAAGCAACTATCTCTGCATCCTTTTCCTCAACACAACGTTCCTTCTGTTGTTCCAGTTCCTGGTTTCTCTCATGCAAAGCAACTATCTCTGCATCCTTCTCCTCCACACAACATTCCTTCTGTTGTTCCAGTTTGTGGTTTCTCTCATGCAAAACGACTATCTCAGAATGTTTCACCTCAAGACAACGCAACTTCTCTTGTTTGAGTTCCTGGTTTGTCTTTTGCAAGGCAGCCATCTCTGCATCCTTCTCCTCAACACAGGGTTCTTTCAGTTGTTTGAGATCCTGGTTTGCCTTTCTCAAGGTGGCCATCACTGCTTTGTCCTTCTCGTGCATCTTGAGGAGCTTTCCATATTTCATGTTCAGTTCCTCATTGTTTCCGCGCAAGACTTTCTGCTCAATTTCCAGGGCATTCATTTTCACATCGTGCCTCACTTCTGGTTCCACTTTCACCTCCACAACCTCTTTCTTGTCCACCTTCGCCTCCTCCACCACACAACGTTCCTTCTCTTGTTTCAGTGTTTGGTTTTCCTTCAGCAAAGCAGCTATCTCTGCATCTTTCTCCTCAACGCAACGCAACTTTTGTTGTTTGAGTTCCTGGTTTGTTGTTTGCAAGGCGGCCATCTTTGCCTCCTCCTTAACACAACGCTCCTTCAGTTGTTTGAGTTCCTGGTTTCTCTCACGCAAATCAGCTATCTTTACAGCTTTGTCCTCAACACAATGAACCTTTTGTTGTTGGAGTTCCTGGTTTCTCTCACGCAGAGCAACTATCTCTACAGATTTCTCCTCAAGACAACGCTCCTTTTGTTGTTTGAGTTCTTGGTTAGTCTTTTGCAAGGCGGCCGTCTTTGCATCTTTCTCCTCAACACAACGCTCCTTCTCTTGTTTCAGTGTTTTGTTTTCCTTCAGCAAGGCAGTTATCTCTTTATCCTTCTCCTCCACACAACGCTGCTTCTGTTGTTGGAGTTCCTGATTTGTCTCACGCAAAGCAGCCATCTCTACACCTTGCTCCTCAACACAGGGTTCTTTCAGTTGTTTGAGTTCCTGGTTTGCCTTTCTCAAGGCAGCCATCTCGGCTTCGACCTTCTTGTGTGACCTCTGGAGGTTTCTGTATTTCATGTTCAGGTCCTCATTGTTGACGCGCAAGACGTTCTGCTCAATTTCCTGGCCTTTCACTTTCACATTGTGCTTAAACAGCAAAGCTGATTTCTCTATATATGCTTTGAGCATCGCTTCCTTCTTTTTAGTGCCTTCAATCTCAAGCTTATCCCTTAAAGTCCTCTCCTGCTCCAGCCACAACTTCATTTCCTGATTTTCTTTTTGCAGAATCTCGAGCTTGACTGCCAGCTCATCTCTATTGTTCATCTCCATCTCTACTGCTGTGACGAAATGACCTGTTGTTTAGCAAACTAAATGTAATTGTTCGACTGAATTAACGTCACAAAAATCCCACAAAAGTTGAGTTCACTTGTGAAGATTATCTCGCTAAAAAACACTGCAAGTATCCCTAATGTTTGCTTGCAACAAAACCTATTTCTGCAATGATCTGACACTAGCTGGACAAATTCCTTCTGCTGCTCTGGTGCTCTGGTGCTCTGATGCTCTGATGAATTCACCTCCTGCAAACTCCGAGAAGATCAATGCAGAATTCAGAATTCTACTTGAAGGCAAAAGATGATGTCATAATTCTGAAGGTTCCATTCCAAATAAGGAGTGAAGGACATCAGCTGACAGGAAGTAAGAATGGAACCATGCTGTTGCCTAGAAACGCAATTGTGTTTAGATAATATAAAGAAATGTAAACAATCGAAATGCTTTATTAATTCCAATGGGAAGTAAGCAACATGTTCTATTATGTTTCATCTTCACGTCAAATGCAGCATATTTTCTACTTTTTAATTTCTATTTTGATATCTTTCAAATTTTTGAAATGTTTATTTCTACTCTTTTAATTTCTAATTATGTGCAATGCCTTGTTTTTTATGCTGCTGCAACGCAAACATTTTCCAATTTGGGATCAATAAAGTACATCTTATCTAATAGGAACCAAAAATACAGTTACGTTGAAGTTGCACTCAATTGCATTTTGATAAAGTGCCATTTTGAATAAAACTTTTTTTTACAGGATTCCCTTCAACACATTAACTTCAATGAAAACATTTCTCTACTAAAATATTTTTTTATGGTGATTAATTGTCTCTTTGTTGTAATTTTCTGTCTCTTTGCAGCTGTTTTCCATCTAATTGTAGGACTCTTTAAAGTAAAGACACTACATACCGATATACACCTGAACATCAGCAGGAGAGGACTCTTTAAAGTAGAGACACTACATACTGATATACACCTGAACATCAGCAGGAGAGGACTCTTTAAAGTAGAGACACTACATACTGATATACAGTACACCCTGAACATCAGCAGGAGATAGCTCTTTAAAGTAGAGGGACTACGTACACCTGAACATCAGCAGGAGAGGACTCTTTAAAGTAGAGACACTACACAGATGACATTTTTGTATGGATTTTTTGTCAAAGCACTTAAGATATTCATTGCTATCGGGTTGTTAAGAGCATTCCATGGAATATAACAAAAAGTGTATCTCGAGCCGGTTTCTCAAACTTACCTACCCCACCTTTAAGGGTGTTGATAGGATATCTAAGGGCCCAATGATTTTCCAATAGGATGTTGGTAATTAAGATAAGATAAGATAAGATAAGATGGTACTTTATTGATCCCAATTTGGGAAATTGTTTTTGTTGCAGCAGCATAAAAGACAAGGCATTTTACAATAAAACAAAACTACAAATAAACAAGAATAGAAAGAAAAGAAAAGAAAATAGAAAATATACATGTTGAAATAGAAAACATACATGTAGATATTATGTATACAAATATATATATTCAAAAATATATGACATATGGAATATTAAATATTAAATATTAAATATCTATATAACAGATTATATATGTGTAAAATGTACAACGTGGTTTTACAATGAAGAAGGCAGGGTATAGTGTTTAATTTTTAATTAGGTTTAATATTTTGTTTTATTGAGGGTCACCAGGCTTATTCCAAGTTAAAAGCCACTCATGGCTGCAGGGGTTCAGGTAAAGGACCTCCAAAGTTACCTTCAGATACAATAAGAAGGTAAGTCTTATCAAAAGTAGAACACTGCTGACCTCTGTTGGCTAAAATTGGAACTGCAGATGAATGGAGGTGTCTGATCTGAAGGAGGCACTAAATAGACAGTGTAAAACAAGCCTGCTGACTTTCATTGCTTTCTCTTTGCCTTCTATAGATTAGCACAGTGGTGTAAAAGTACAAGACATAACTTAATTAAAGATAGCCTTCAAAATATACTCAGAGTCCAAAAATTAAAAGTAGCCTATTTCTGAATAATATTTATATAATATTACTGCACTATGATTATTGATGCATTCATGAGTCTATAGCAGCTGGCATTTTGTATTAGCTAATAATCTGAATATGTAGAACAACTAGTTGCTAAAGCTCTCAGATAAATAATAATAATAATAAATAATATTTATATATAGTGCTTCTCTAGAACTCAAAGACGCTTGTAGCAGAGTTAAGAGTACAACATGTACATCCAAAATGTAGTGGAGTAGTATTCATACCCCTCACTGTTTTTTCATCATTCAATTCATTCTATATTTTATTCTGTAGATTGTGTACATTACTTTTCACTTTACTGCTTTTTGCACTCCTGGTTAGAAGCTAAACTGCATTTCGTTGTCTCAGTACCTGTAATCTGTGCAATAACAATAAAGTTGAATCTAATCTTGAGCAGGAACAAATGTATTTACTTAGTACATATCTGACATTAACGATTAAACACATTTGTGCATTCTTTATAAATGCAAACCGAGTCAAGCCGACTCCGGAGGTGGCGGTATGCACCTTAAAGTTGTTTGCAATCTGCTAAAAAACCGAGAGAAGAAGAAGAAGAGGAAGAAGCCGACTCCGAGCTGTCCGACTTCATGGCGAGCTTTTTGAGACCTCCCCCGGCTGCGATCGGCTATTCTCGTCTACTTTCGAGGCGAGCCGCAGCTCGTCTCAAACAAGCCTACTGTTTCCTGGTTCGTCTCAGGTGAGGGAGGAGCTCTGTCAGACCTCGGTTGCGGTCGAATAGTCCATTTAGCTTAGGAACCTTCCTAACGGAGTGAAATGACCCGGAAGTCCCTCAGTGGCAGCCATGATAAGTGCCGTTCGAATTCTTTAAATTAAAAGGAAAGGAGGTTTCAAACTTCCTTTATAACCTCCTTTAGCTTAGGAACCACTGGACCTCCCTAACAGAAAGGAGAGGAGAAAATGCTGCCCCACAATGCCTTGCGGCCGCGGCATTTGCCGTCACACAACAGTCGGCCGTTCACGGAAACAATCGATTATGAACGAGAAATGATATCATGAAAGTTACGGTTCAAAACGTATGTGGTAAGTTGCCAAAGTGCTTTGTTTTGAACGTTCATCAGTATTATATATGGAGCTAATTTCCTGCCATAACTCCACAAACAAACTAAACAGGTTTTACAAATGCCTTATGATTCACTAACAAACACAATGTGGTTTGCAAATACAAAACACCATCTACAAACTAATGAATTTAGTTTTGCAAAGAAAAAACGTATCTATCAAACAAACACATAACATTATTCTAATAAATCATGTTTCAGAGACAAATTCAGCTTAGGTTTTACAAGTACACAACTTTTTTTTACAAGTGCACAAATTTGTTTTACAACTACAACACTTTGTTTTACAACTACAAAACTTTTTTTTACAAGTACACAAATTTGTTTTACAACTACAACACTTTGTTTTACAACTACAAAACTTTTTTTTACAAGTACAAAACTTTTTCTTCTCACGGCGGAATATTACTGCCAAAAGTCACGTGACTGGAATATTACTGCCAAAAGTCACGTGACTGAGACTTTTGGCAGTAATATTCCGCCGTGGCTGGCTCATACAGTCACACATGCTCACTCACACATGCTACACGGCAGCAGGGGGCGCTACTGAGTCCATTGGGAAGACGGGAGGTTGAGCAGAGCATGGAACAGCTCTTGCCAGTCTGATGACAGGTGTTATAGTGATAATATTATAAACAAGGTGAATTTAGCGATCACAACGAAAACAGCCAAGACACATATTGAGCCCAGAAAATAAATGTTATTAGGGGCTGTAAATATAATAAGCCTTTGTCTAAAATGGACAACATTGTAACTAAAGAGATTTAAACTATATATACAGCCAGGGGACGTTCGGGACGAATCCCGATGGGCCGGTACTGAAGTGGGCCGGTCGGATAAGTCACTGCTCACCCCCCCCTTCCCCCCCGTCGACAATTTCCTCGCGGTATTTACTTGCGGCACCACCGAGGTGGGCCGCTTACTTGCGGTACCGAGGTGGGCCGGCGGTACCGAAGTGGGCCGGTCGAGAGTCCCGGGCTGATTTGTTGTCCCAGTCCGCCCCTGTATACAGCGATTCTGCACTCGGTCAATCAGCTGCTTTTCATTTTTATTCCTGCTATATTCAATGAGTGATACAAATATTTTTTACCACAAGTTCTTAATAAAACTGACACTGTTGGACTTGGTACTAGTTGACTGCAACCAGAAATAAAATGAAGTACTTTACTGTGTACTTTGTGAGTAATCCTCTGTCAGAGTCCCCTCCATAGTACATAATGCATGTTTTTTGCTATCTTTGATGAATGATAAAAATAAAATGTTACCATTAGTTCTTAATGAAATTGATACGGTTTGACTTTGTATTAGTAAGCCTACTACTAACAATACATTGAAGTACTTTTACTGTGTATTTTTTGAGAAAT